ACACCTGGCCACCCCAAAGGGCTGTGCAGTACCTTGCAGTGACCCCTGCCCACCAGGGGAAGGCTCTGATTTTAAAATCTCTCTGAGGGTGCCACCCTCCACCCCTCACAGTTTGTATGACAGCCAGTGTCACCCACCCGTGTCACACAGCATGGTGGGCAGGGCGGTGCTGTGACCCTGCCCAGGTCCACAGCCAAGGGACAAAGCAGGGGCTGGAGGCACTGTGGAGCTGGTCACTCTGATCCAGACCCCAGGATGGACATCCCCTGCTCCTCCCGGCTCCCTGCTCACCTTTGTTCTTCTGCACACGGACRGTGGTGTTGGGGAGGACGCTGGGGTCTCCCTCCAGGGTGTAGTGGTAGGTGCAGTCATCATCCTCATCCTGGAAGGAGCAGTACTCACCAGCCTCCTCTGTGGGGACAGGGGACAYGGSTGTGAGGCCACCAGRGCCAGGAGAGACTCRGGGAGCAGGCTCTGCGCCCAGCTCTGCTTCTCACAGTACCTTTCTTCAGCTCCTCCACCATCTGGATCTGGAGATGGCACGAGCTGCAGTTCCCTTTCAGGCTGCCCGATCCCCAGGTCTGGCAGCGGACGCAGTCCCGGATGCTCTCACACACGGCCTGGAAGCCCTGGGACATGTGGGGTGGGGTGGTCAGGGACAGCCCACGGGGGCAAGAGTGGACACAGCCTCTGCAAGGCAGAGCTGGAGAGGCAGTGCTGCATCCTCAGCCCAGAGCCAGGGCAAGGTCCAGGTCAAAAAGAGGAATTACTGAAAACACAGCACTGCATCCTCAGCCCAGAGCCAGGGCAAGGTCCAGGTCAAAAAGAGGAATTACTTAAAACAGGCAACTAATAAAGGATTTATAAGCCCAGCCAGCTCCAAAATCTCTTATACCAACAGCCTGTACTTGGGCAGTAATTAGATCATCTCCAAGGGTTTTGGTGGCCTTTTCAAAACCAAGCCAAGCTGGTTTTCTCCATTCCCACTGTGGGATGAGCCCAGGTTTGTCCATGGGGAAATCCAATGTGTTCAGGCCAGGTTGGATGGGACCCTRAGCAAACTGGTCTAGTGGAAGGTATCCCTGCCCATGGCAGGGGAGCTGGAACCAGATGAGCTCCAAGGTCCCTTCCAACCTAAACAAGGCTGGGATTCTGTGAAATGAGGCTTTTTCCAGCCTTCCTGCCACAGCACAGGTGAGAATAACCTTTGCTCAGGATTCTGCTCCTCACTGAGATGTGCCTTCATCTCTGCTTTGCCTCTCTCCCGGAGTCTCCGAGTTGGAATAAGTGACAAACCCGTGGGGACTCACCAGGGAGTAGCTGATTTCACAGGTGGAGCTGGTGTACAGCGAAGCCATGTCACAGATGCATCTGCCACATTCACACCTCCCGTGGTTGTTGCAGATGCCCTGGGAGAGGAGAGGTGACAGTCGGTGTCTGAGAGTGATGCCTTAGGATTTCAKYTTCTMTATTTCCATGTCTCTGTAACCCTGGAATTCTTCAGTGTTTAACTCCAGACTCCACAGACAGTGCTGAGCTCCTGCTCTCCCATTTTTACACAAAACAATTCCTTTGCAGCCCCAAACTCAAGGACACCTCCSTGKGCCAGGCCCCAAGAGATGGAAACAACAGAGAATTGGGGGAGCCAAGTTGGAGTGAATGACTGCATTGGCTGCAGCTGCAATTGGAGGATTCAGCCCCGATGTGCAAATTGATAAAACTGATAAAGCRCAACACAGTGTCCATTTTGGGTGGGCTGTGACCGCCCTGAATGTACCTGAAGGCCCTTCAATAAATAGAACAGCTTTTTATTCTCTTAGCTTTGTCCAGCCTCTGTTTTAGATAAGCCAGACATAAGCATCAGGAGTGATGCAGGCACACAGCGGCTCTGGGACTCAGCGAGACACCCCAGCAGCCCCAAGATTCCAACATCGGGGTGATTGCTGCATCAATTTGCCACAATTTCCATGCCAGGATTGGTGCCCTCTGGCAAGGGCAGCACCTACCCCTCGGCTGTCGATGCAGGTGTCGTTGCTGGTGGGACATTCACAGCCCGGGCCCTCCCAGCCATTCTCGCACACACAGGCGCCCCTGGAGCAGCGGCCACGGTCTGGGGAGAGAGGAGGGATTATGGGGGTTCAGTGCCAGGCAGCACCTCCAGCCCTGAGTGTGGCTCCCCCTCTTTCTCTGGGGTGCAAAAGGGCTGCAGAGAGGCTCTTTTTTAGGGTGAAAATGGGCTGCAGAGAGGCTCCTTTTGGGGTGCAAAGGGGCTGCAGAGACACTTCTTTTCAGGGTGCAGAGGGGCTGCAGANTTTGTCCAGCCTCTGTTTTAGATAAGCCAGACATAAGCATCAGGAGTGATGCAGGCACACAGCGGCTCTGGGACTCAGCGAGACACCCCAGCAGCCCCAAGATTCCAACATCGGGGTGATTGCTGCATCAATTTGCCACAATTTCCATGCCAGGATTGGTGCCCTCTGGCAAGGGCAGCACCTACCCCTCGGCTGTCGATGCAGGTGTCGTTGCTGGTGGGACATTCACAGCCCGGGCCCTCCCAGCCATTCTCGCACACACAGGCGCCCCTGGAGCAGCGGCCACGGTCTGGGGAGAGAGGAGGGATTATGGGGGTTCAGTGCCAGGCAGCACCTCCAGCCCTGAGTGTGGCTCCCCCTCTTTCTCTGGGGTGCAAAAGGGCTGCAGAGAGGCTCTTTTTTAGGGTGAAAATGGGCTGCAGAGAGGCTCCTTTTGGGGTGCAAAGGGGCTGCAGAGACACTTCTTTTCAGGGTGCAGAGGGGCTGCAGAGAGGCTTCTTTTTGGGGTGTGAAGGGGCTGCAGAGAGGCTTCTTTTTGGGGTGCAAAGGGGCTGCAGAGAGGTTTCTTTTTGGGGTGTGAAGGGGCTGCAGAGAGGCTTTCTTTTGGGGTGCTAAAGGGCTGCAGAGAGGCTTTCTTTTGGGGTGCAAAGGGGCTGCAGAGAGACTCCACAGCATCCTCCCTGCACGTCTGCAAGAGCGCAGTCGCCACAGCCCATCCCTGGTCACTCAGTCCCTCTGTGCCAGTGCCACCAGCCCAGGACACCCTGCCCATGGCCAGCTGGCACTCTGGATGTTCTCACCATTGCAGAGAAAGCCGGAGGTGCGCGGGCACTGCAGGACRTCGAACTCGCAGAAGGCGCCGTCGAAGCGCAGGCTCCGTCCCTCGGAGTAGCACTGGCAGCGGCCGCACAGGCACTCGCCCCGGCCCGAGCACGGCTCTGTGTCCCCTGGCCGCACACACGCTTCGTTGTTGGGGGACGATGCTGGGGAGCAGTCACACGTGTCCCCTCGCCTGGGGACAGAGATGGGGCTGAGAAAGGCGGGGACAGAGCGCAGAGCCCAGGGCAGGAGCCTGTGTTGATGCCTTAGGATTTTTAGTTTTTGTGTTTTCATGTATCTGTATTCTTGTATTTCTTCAGTGCACAGCACTAAAGCTCCTGTTCTCCCATCTTTAGACCCAAACAACAAAAAAGGGCATCTTTAGACCCAAAACCAACCCAAAACAATTCCTCTCTCAGCCTGAAATCCAAGGACACTTCGCTGCCTCAGAGCCCCAAAATATGGAAACCACAGAGAACTGGGGGAAGCAAGTTTGGGGTGGTTGGCACCTCATCACCTAAAGGTGTCATTGGAGAATTGAGGCCCAATATGTTAATGAGACAGAACTTACAAAAGGTGAAGATCTCATAATTCAGGGTCCATTTTGGGTTTGTAGCCTCAGAAGGAGGCTTTGTCTGCYCATAATGTACCAGTAGGCCTGGATAAAACTTGTCTGCTTTTATTTCTCTTAATTTTGTCTGGCCTCTGTTTCAGATGAGCCTTGTTTTAGGCATCAGTGTCACAGTGGGACCCTAAAACCAGTGGGATCCCTGGGAGGGGGTGGATCTGGACACGGTCCTTACCAGCCCGGGTGGCAGATGCACTGTCCGCAGACAAAATCCCCGTGGAAGCTACACTTGGGCGAGTCCAGCTCTTGTTGCTGCGAGAGAAGAGAGGAGAGGCGCTGCTGAATGGGCCTGGCTGCCCCCAAAACCATTCCAGGAATTAGAAGGACAGATCTGGGGCAAAGTTTTGCCTCAGAGACCGAGCTCTGCCACAGGACAGAGCAGGCAGCGATGGAGATTTTGGCCAGGCTGAGCATCGCTGAGGGGTCGAGCTGAACCCACAGGCACCGGTCAGCACATTCCCACCTCAGGCTGGTGAGGAGGAGGACGAGGAGGAGGAGGACGAGGAGGAGGAGGACGAGGAGGAGGAGGACGAGGAGGAGGAGGACGAGGAGGAGGAGGACGAGGAGGAGGAGGACGAGGAGGACGAGGACGAGGAGGA